TTATTATTATTATTATTATTATTATTATTATTATTATTATTATTATTATTATGGTGAAATATTTTATTTAATACACAATGGAGGTGACGGAAAAATTTTTCAAGTGTCTGAACATTTTACAGGTGTGGAAAAGAGGTGGGTTATTTATACGCTCACAAAGCGTGACATTTCTCGTTACCTCAGCCAATATTACGATTCGATCTTCAATCGATCAAGTGTATATTACCTCTCACTACACGTCCTCCTGCAAAACCGATAAGTGTATAGCAGGCGATGCGTGCACCGTGATTTTCGTATTTTATCGGAAAATAATAATAAACCAGAGTGAAGGGCAAACGACCATTTAATATTTTCCACCAACGTTCATCCCCTCTTCTTAAAACCTTTGGAGAAAAGCTGTTTGTTTCGAGGGTAGAATAGATACGGAAGTATCCATTAAGTGGTCAATGTAATTGAGAAAAAGTTCATCTACGAGATCATCTGGGTGACATCAACAAATCGACGGTTTTTGGTGATCAATTAATTTGATAATTCCATCGTTTTGTAGATTAATGAAAAGAGAAATTACAGATATGGGGCTTAATTGGTTGAGTGAACGGTTGAACGATTAAAATTTCATGATTTTTCAAACTTTTAAACTGATATCATATAAAACTCGTCCCCACAACCATCAAGATCACCGAGGGATGAGCGATATCGATTTGTTACCGTTATCGAATGCCCTGACCTTTCACTTTATTACGAATTACGAATTAGAACGGTTGATTGTCGTTCGGCGATTAGATTAATGGGTAATTGACGGGTTGGCAAATTATAGATGAGGATGTAGGAGCGGATTAGGATCCAATCTTTGAAATAATTAAATGTTTGAGGAAGTGAGGATTGACGCTATCTCCATTAACCCCAAGCTGGATCAAAACTATTGACATAAGAGGTCATTTTAACCGATACAAACCAATTCTGGTAGCTCTCAAGCAACTGTCGCTATCGAAAGGTCATCAAACTCATTTCATTCCAATTGTTCTAGCTGCACACGAGTTCCTCAGCACCTGCGACGATGGCGAATTCATCTTAAAGATAATTATATCCAAATGTCATTTATCTACATCATTATAATGTTTTTTTTAAAGGTTTCCCTTAGGTTATAAAAATATAACAATTCCATGATGGAATTTCTCACGTCTTCTTTCATCATAAAATATTAAATAAAGTATATGGTTTATATTTCATAAATATATGTAATATATATATTTACATATATATATATATCGAATAAACCGGCTTCAAAAAACGTTACATTGGATTTTTTTTAAAGGAAATGTTATTACATCTTTTCATTGCGTGAAATTTGTTTGTTGATAGGCAATTAATGAAAATACTCATCCAGCAGTTGATGGTTTGGTTAATTTATCACTTGAATAAACATGAAACAACTCTATTGAAAATGCGGCTGGCGTTGCTGACTATGTTTGAA